AAAAAATTGCTGACAAATTGGGAGGCTGAGATAGGAGGATCACTTAAGCCCAGAAAGAGTTCAAGGTCAGCCTAGGCAATATAGCAAGAATCCATCTCATTAAAAAAAAAGTTTCGATTACATATAAGATAAAATTCAACAATTCACTATTTTAACAATTTCTAACATACAGTTCTGTGGCAGTAAGTATAATTACACATTGTTTTTGCAACTATCACCATCATCCATCTCCAGATTATTTTTTTTATCTTCCCAACCTGAAACACTGTACCCACTGAATATTTTCCATCCATCCTTCTCCCAGTCCTTTGAAACTACAGTCTTACTTTCTGTGTCTCTAAATTTATGTATTCTAGAGATTTCACATAAATGGAATCACACAAGATTGGTCCTTTTGTGTCTGCTTATTTCACTTAGTAGAAAGCCTTCAAAGTTCTTCTGTCAGAAATTCCTTCCTTTTGAAGGCTGCACATAAATACCCCTTTGTATTTATCTGCCACATTTTGTTTGGCCTTTCATCCTTTTTTTTACTTTAGCAATCTAGCAGATGTACAGTAAAATCTCACTGTGGTTTCAACTTGTATTTCCCTAATGACTAATAATGACATGACTCTTCATTTGCATATTTGCCATCCATACTTCTTCCTAATTTTGCCCAATTTTTGAGTATTTCATCTATTGCTATTGAATTTTTAATGCTTTATATATATCCTGAGTGTCATTCACCAGATATAGTCTTTGCAAAGACCTTTTATTTCCTCCATTGACTTGTCTTTTCATTCTCTTTAACTGTGACCTTTGAAGAGCAAAATGTTTAATTCTGATGAATTCCAATTTATTCTTTTCTCTACCTGCAGTAGTAGGGATTAAAAGGGCCTCAAGCATGTTGGTGAGTGCACTACCTTTTTAAATTTTTGAGACATGGTCTAAATTGCCCAGATTGGCCTTGAATTTGCAATCCTCCCGCTTCAGCTTCTTGAGTATCTGGGATTACAGGTGTGTGCCACTGTGCCTGGCTCGATTTGTTCTTCTGGTATCTTCTTGAAGAAATCCATTAAACTCAAGGTCACAAAAAGTTTTTTCATATTCTTTCTTGTAGAACTTTTATAGTTTCAGGTTTTATTTTTAGGCCTATCATCTACTCTCCTACACTGCGGATGGGAATATAAAACGGTATAACCACTTTGGAAAACAGTTTGGCAGTTTCTTAAAAAGTTAAATATATATCTTCTACACACTATCCAACCATTCCATTCCTGGCAAAGATTTGTACATGAATGTTCACAGCAGTGTTATTTATAATATCCCCAAACCAAAAACAACTCAATGTTCATCAACAAGGGATGGAAATCTCAATTTGGGTATACTCATATTATGGACTACTACTTCCCAGTAAAAAGGAATAAATTACTCATTCATGCCACATGTATAAATCTCAAAATAATTACACTGTGCAAAAAGATATCAAACAAGACTACATACTAGGGCCGGGGCTGTGGCTCAGTGGTGGAACGCTCGCCTAGCATGTGTGAGGCACTGGGTTCAATCCTCGGCACCACATAAAAATAAAATATATTGTGTTCACTTAAAAAACTAAAAAAATAAATATTACAAAAAAAAAAAAAAAAGACTACATACTGCACGACTCCTGTAAATAAAACACCTTTCCTTTCACATTACCAAAATTCCAGCAAACTCATCCATAATGATGGAAAGTAGATCAGTGGTTGCCTGCCTGAGGTGGGGAGAGATTACCAAGGGGAGTAAAGAAACTTCTGGGAGTGAAAGATATCTTCACTATCTTGATTGTGGTGATGGTTTTAAGTTTTATATCAAAACTTGTCAAATTGTACATTTTATTATATGCAGGCTCATTGTATGTAAATTATTCCTTAATAAAGCTGTTTTTTAAAAACCAGTGTTAAGTTAAACTGCATAGCGTGTCAATTTCAGGTCACATGGGGCCCTCTGGTACCCAAAACCAAAGAGTTAATAACTTATAATCAGTCTTGTATGACTTCCATTTTATAAAGCAGTGATCTTAGGACTTAATTTCACTCACAAAAATACCTGTCAAGATTCTAGGTTTAGTGGGGAAGGGAGGGGAGTATGGGAATGGGAAAGAGTAGAATGAATTGGACATAAATTTCCTATGTTTATATTTGAATATATAACCAGTATAACTCCACATCATGTGCAAACACAAAAATGGGAAGTTATACTCCATGTGCATGTCAAAATACATTCTGTCATGTGTAACTAAAAAGAATAAAAAAATTAAAAACCAAAAAGATTCAAGGTTTACATCCACAAGATCACACAACCTGAATCAATATACAGCAACAGGATAATAGCAATGTATTTGGAGACTGCCAATATATTATCCAGAAAAGAATTATTTCCATAAACTGCAATTGGTATCTATTGTGTAACCAGTTCTGAACTGTTCTTAAAATTTCCATTAAAATTATTTCCTAAAATACTAGTCTATCATTCAAGGACTGTCTTCCCCATGGACATTATTCCTTAAACTCTCTGTCTTTTCAGTTTCGGCTGCTTCTCTATTGCCAACTTGTGGCATAATCTTTGAAAATCTCTTCATCTATAATATGAAGAAGTTAGCCTAGGGGCCCTCTCTAAACTCTATTAACCTCACTTTGTATCAGGTTTACATACAGTACTGTATGTTGAGCCACAGATGAACAAAATATGACCTCTGCCTTAAAAAATACTTACAAACTAGAAACACATACATGGAGAAACATAACAAAGCAATTATATCAAGTGTCATTAACAGAAATGAAGTTGCCCTTTAGGATATCTTGAGTAACTGAGATTTTCTGGTAGGATGGCATTTTCGCTGGGCCTTAAGCAGCTGACAGAATCTGTAGAGAGGAGACAGTGTTTCAGTCAGAAGGATTTGATGAATTAAGTTAGAAAACTGCAAGTCATGCTCTAGGAACATTAATGCCACATGGTAGATGGAACAGATGAAATATAGGTGAAATGAAAGAAAAAGATAAGACTGGAAAAGTAGGATGGAAATATATTATCCAGATGATAGAATGGCATTTTCGCTGGGCCTTAAACAGCTGACAAAATTTGCAGAGAGGAGATGGTGTTTCAGTCAGAAGGACTGGATGAATTAAGTTAGAAAAGTGCAAGTCATGCTCTAGGAACATTAATGCCACACAGTAGGTGGAACAGATGAAATGTAAGTGGAATGAAAAAAAAAGATAAGACTGGAAAAGTAGGATGGAAATATACTGTGAAAGGATCCAAATATCAGACTAAGAAATCATGATTTCAAACTGTAGGCAAGGGAAACCATGGAAAACATATGAGCTGACCTGAGAAGTTCCCTGTGCCTACAGGTTGGGAAGGAATAGTTAGAAAAGAAAACAGGAGGTAATGAGGATCAAGACTAATAGACCTATTGTATCTACAACAGACCTAGCAAGAGGGAGAGAATGAGCTTTGAAGAGAGAAAAAGGAGATATTTCATAGGTAGAGCTGAATAATGGAAACTAATGGATTTAATAAAGGGAGAAATCTTAAGTCAAAGCCAAGAAAGCCCTCTGAAATCATCCAAAGTGATCCAGCAGTTCATTAACTTTTCAAGAAGAAAGATCACTTTTAAATCCTGTATCACATCTTAAAACTCCTTTAAATGATAAAATTATCTGTGTTTTTAATTGCAATTGGCATCTATTAAATGTGTACTAAATCAAAAGTAAAAGTTGCAGTTCTAATATTTTAACTTCTACTTCCATATTAGAAGTTTCTATTGTATCTCTGCTATTGACATTCCCATGTTATACAAGGTAAGCAAGTGTGTGGTAGGGTCTAAATTATTTTTTAAAATTACAAACAATGAGATCATAACTTTTGCTATTTTTTTCTCATTGGACTTATTATGAGAGGTCTTTCTATATCCACACCTACAGTCCATCTTCTCTGACTTCAATGTTGCAAAGCAAGAATCTTAGCACTTAATTTCACCACAAATAATATTTTAAATAATTGCATAGTGTTACATGGCAATACCATATAATTAATTTATATTCCATTTTAATGAATATTTGGGTTGTTTCTGGGTTTTCTGCTATTACACACTACCTGTTATGAATATTCCCTGGACATATAACACATTTTATGCAAACATACCTGAAATCCTATAACACAAATGACTCAAAATGTGTGTGAAATTAAAATCTTGGTTACCAGATCAGGATCCTTTTTTTCAAAATATATATATTTTTTAGTTGCAATTAGACATAACTATTTTATTTATTTATTTTTAAAATGTGGTGCTGAGGCTCGAACCCAATGTCTCACTCATGCTAAGCAAGCGCTCTACCACTGAGTCACAAACCCAGCCCTGGACAGGATCCTTTTTTAAGAGAGGACAAGAATTCGTACACATGGTTGTGGAGTTTTTATAGGTAGAGGACCTTGTTTTTTTCCTCCAATTCCTACTTCATGGATAAGGGAACGAGGCCAGACGACTGGAGAAAACACACCCAGGGGCTGGACTTGAGTCCCATCTCTCGCCTTCAAGCCCAAGATCCTTTCCTCTCTCCAATTTCGGCTAATTTCTGCTTCCCCAACATGGAAAGTCACTCTCCTCGCCTCCACCCACCCATCTCCATACTTGGGGGTGCTCACTCCAGGTCAAGCACCGGGATTCTCTCACCGATGGTTCTCGTTAAGCAGGGAGAAAAGAGGGCCCAGGCGCAGCTCCGATGCTTGCTCTCGAAGCTCGTTAAGTGGCACAGCCTGTATCACCGATTGCAGCGCACGCAGCTCCTCCAGGGGAGTTTCCAACCGAGCCACCTCCCTCAGCAGCGCCAGCGCCTGCGCCGCCATCTTGCCGGCTCCTGCCCGCCGGGCCAGCAGGTTCCCGAGGCGCTTCTCCAAGCCTCGCGAGATGAGTTGAACGCAGGCTCCTTTTCGGTCTGCCAAGTCTCGCGAGACTCCTGGAACGTCTCAGGTTGCCAGTGATCTAGGGCCTCGGTCTGACGTCACGAGGAACTGTGCTCAGTTACTCCTCCTGCTTTTCCCAGCAGCTTGGTGAACTGGCGGAGTGGAAGCCTCGTAGGATGCCCAGCCAGCGGAGCCGAGAGGATGAGGGCCTGTCGGCAGTCAGACGGCCTGGAAATGGCCTCCCCGCCTCCAGACCAGACCTTTGGCACTGGAAAGAGCCGCCTTTGTGGAGGCCTCTCGGCTTTGGGCCTTGGGGGAACTTAGATCCTGGGCCACACGCCTGTCCAGAAGAGGCAGAGGGTTCTGCCTCGGAAGGCAAGATGAAAATTCTCGAGAAGCTGGACGAAGGCGTGAGTAATACGATCTTGGGGCGCCTTTTTGGTGTCGACGAGTCAATAGTACTCGTGATGGAGAAAAACACGAGGGCTGTTTGGGCCGGCATGGAGAGTGTTTTGCCCGACTGCTCCAAGATTCCCGTGAGGTAGACCCCAAGAAGATGGAGACCTCGGTAGCCTTTTGAGTGGAGGGGCAGAGCACAGAAGGCGGCCTCTTGACTGCAACGGCCTCTGCACCCAGGCCAAACACATCTGTATTGCATGTGGTGGGAACCAGTGGTCAGGGCGGTTCAGATATGTTTCCTGCGAGCCAGGAATGGTTTGAGAAGTTTATAAATAAATACTGTGAAATATAAAGTTGATGAGGAAGGAAGAACCGTTAAATCCTGAGTTGGCACCCAAACAGTGCAAGCAATTGGAGCGACTCATCAGAGAGAGAAGCAGTGTGCCTCAGCAGGTCCTGAATACCAAGGAGATGAGCCTAGTTTGGAAACGCATGCTTTCCCATACTTTTAAGGAAATAGACAAAAATCTGGAAAGCTTAGAGGAAACTTAAGGACAGCATTTCCTTCATTTTGTGTGTCAATGTCTCCCGTGACAAAATGATGAATACATTGCTGCTTCACAAAGACCTTAATCCCACTTTTCTTTTGGAAAAAAGATTTTTTACAATACCCTCTTTTTGGATTGGTTTTTATAATTAGATTATCCATGAAACTAAGGTGTGTTTAACAGAAAAAAAAAAAAGCACAAAAAACTTGAATTCAGAGTGTTGCCAGTTGTGGAAAAAAGTCCTGGTTACCCTGACTCATTATTTGCTCATTATTTGATGTTATTGGGTTTCTTTCCTTGGAAGACACTAGCTTTCTCCAGCCCTTGAACCATGGTATAACTGAGGTATTACATCAACCATATGTTTGAACACCTTGCTGACTGCATTGACAAAAAGCTTACTTTAAAAGAAACATGACAACAATGCCACATTTCTGAAGTAGTGGTAAAAGAAGTGATGAATGATATAAAACCAGCCGTCTTTAATAAGGCTTAGTGGAAAGATTGGAAGGATGTTCTTTGAACGCGTATGCATGTTTCCCCAGAGTTAATGAAGAAGTTGAAAAAAAATCCGTCTGCATCAATATAAACGAAAGTGAAAATAATGAATTACTAAAGTTCCAATCTTTGGGAATAATTTAGAGTCTATATCCATAGATGATGAAGACCAGTCCCCAACTAGAGGTAAAGATGAATCTAAAGAAATTGCTGTCTTAAACGATGCCTCAGATTTCATTGATTCTGCAGTTGATACAGATCCTTTCTTGGATTGAAGTTTGACATTTAAAAAAGATTTCAGAGCTGGTTGCGGTTGCGCATGTCTGTAATCCCAGCAGCTGGGGAGGTTGAGGCAAGAGGATTGTGAGTTCAAAGCCAGCTCCAGCAAAAGCGAAGCACTAAACAACTCAGTGAGACCCTGTCTCTAAATAAAATACAGAAAAGGGCTGGGGATATGGCTCAGTGGTCCAGTGCCCTGAGTTAATCCTAGTGCAATCCCCCAAAAAAGATTACAGTAAATTGCTGTATGTCTATAGAGAGGTGCAAAAGAAACTTAAAGGAACTGAAGGAAGAAATAAACAATAAAGGAAGTGATAAGGGAGAAATAAACGAAGTAAATGATAGGGATGGGTGTAGTATCTGTGTTGCAGGGGAAGTCTGAGTCTTAAAGTCAGCCTGAATCAATTCCATAGGGAGGAGGAGAAGGAAAGAGAAAAGGTATAGAATAAAAAGCTTCCTGGCAGTGGCACTAAGACTTGATAATAGCTGAAAAAACTGTCAAAGCCATAATTGGAGTTCTAAAATCTAACCTTGGAATTGAATTTGGAATGAGTAGAGATGTCTGAGTTGAAGGACAGAGCGGATCCAGAGGTTGCTTCTTCCAAATAACACTTCATCTTATTATCATTCTCTCATTACCTCAACATCACCTTCATCACTACCATCATCTTTGTAATCACCAGACACATCTGTAACACTTAGTCATTCAACAGATATTGAGTGGAAATTCTGTATAGTCCTGTTCTAAACTTGGGAAATCAACTCAGGAAATATCTGAGGATCTGAGGTAAATGGTCATTAACAGTACCCATTCTTATGGATGATTGGTATGAGAGATCATGGCCCCAGTTTATTTTAGAGGGCTTAAAATACAAAGGTTTTCTTAGGACCATTCAGCCTCTAACCATATATGTTAAATTTTTCAGTTACAAACAGGTGTTGGTGGTTGACATGAGACTGTTTCTTTTTGAAATGGTGACATGATCATACATTTTATAAAGCACTCAACATTAATCTGTTAATCCTCACTCCAGACATATGAAGGAAGTTATTAGCCCTGCATTTATCAAAAACCTCCCTTCAAACCCAGAGAGGTTAAGAAACTTGCTGGAGTCTGCACAGCTAATGTAAACAACAGGATTAGGATTACAAATGATTAACTACTTTGTCAGACATTTTCATAAGTCTATCACGCCTTTAAGAATTTGTAGTTGTTTGATCCTCAGCACCACATAAAAATAAGATAAATAAAGGTATTAATATTTTAAAAAAATAAAAGAATTTGTAGTCTTAGCCAGGCATAGTGGCGCATACCTGTAATCCCAGTGGCTCAGTTTGGGAGGCTGAGACAGGAGGATCTCAAGTTCAAAGCCAGCCTCAGCAAGTTAGCAAGACCCTGTCTCAAAAAATAAAGAGAGTGGCTGGGGTTGTGGCTCAGCAGTAGAGCGCTCGCTTCGCACATGCGAGACCCTGGGTTCGATCCTCAGCACCACATAAAAATAAATAAGTGAAATAAAGGTATTGTGACCAACTACAACTAACAAAAAAAAAATAAATAAAAATAAAAATAAATAAATAAAAAGAGCTGGGCATGTGGCTCAGTGGTAAGTGCTCCTGGGTTAAATTCCCAGTAGCCCCAGAAAAGGAAATTGTAGTCTCAACAAGTGAGACAAATGAACAGGTGATGAGAATAAACAGGGAAGCTATGAACTGCAAATCTGCAAATAAGATTTTGTTGTTTTCCTTCCATTTTGAAAATTTTTTCAATTGTTTTTCAGTATTTCCTGTTTTGTGTAAGAAACTATTTACATACAATAGAATTCACCTGTTGAAGTGTCCAGTTGAATTTTTTTCATACCTGTGTAACTGCCAACAGAACAATTAAGATGTAAAATGGTTCCCTGAAACAGTTTACCTGTGCACTAAAGCTTTTCCTCTGTGCTAACTTGCCATCATTTTAAAATTGGGATATTTCACATTGAAAAGCTGCAAAGAGAAAATAGCATATGAAAAGGTGTATAGTAAAGTGTTAGAGTCTGTAAACAAGTCAAAATAACACCTGGCATTTAGCCAGGGGAATGTTAGAGTTGGTAAACAAGTCTGGCTGGTGCCTGGCAAAATGCCAGAGGGAGTGGTTTGAGAAGTAACAAAAGCGAGCCATTAAGTGTGGAGATTCCTTATTGGTTGACTGATGTATCTAGTTTATGCTAATTAGATAAGCTGTGTGGAATGTATAAATACTGCTCCTGTCCTGCAATAAATGGCTCCTACTCCTGCTGTATCAACGTACACAAGTTGTTCGTCACCCCCCCGGTTATTTTGCTGCAGCTGGACTGCGGCAGTAAAGGACATAAATATGAAGGCATTATAATAAAAAGGCATATTAAAAATTTGGAAACTGTAGTAGCAGTGGACTCTGCATTCCTAAGGGACAACAGTCAGCCTTTGGCTTGCTGGTTTTATGTGCCGCTCTCCAAAACAAGCGCAGTGTGTCGTCTTTAGAAGAGGACTGAGATTAACTGAGAAAGGCTCCCAGGGCAGTTGGCCTGGGAAAAGGAATGAGTTTATTAGGAAGTGAAGAAGTGGGCAAGAGTATTCTAAGCCAAAGAGAATTAGGGGAAATCCTTGGAGGAGGGGGCAATATGGGGGCCACATTGTGTAAGGGTTACATTCTGTGCTTCCCTTGTTTATAGGTAGTTTGAAGCTCTTTAGAGAAGAGTTTTGTGTATGTGTTTTAGTGTTTGTGTGCTGTGGTTTCTGAAAGTTTATGTCTTTGTATGTTTCTGGGGACATGCCTTTTTGTTTGTTGGAATGGAAAGAGAAAATAGCACATATTTTTGCAAGAGTTATAGGTCTGAGTGCTTAGGTTGTAAGTTTCAGGGGAGAGGTGTGCCCAGTGAAAATAACCTCCCTTTCCCAGATTCCTACAGTGTCTTTGGCCAGCCTGGCTGGGGCGGGGCGGGCAGTGTGCAGACCAGAGGCTTTGTGGGGAAAGGGCAGATAAGGCCCTCAGTGCCCGCCCACCAGCCGGCACCCGGCCTGAGACTGTAATTCACTGCCACTGCCTTGTGCTAAATTACCAACAAAGCCATGGACAGGCTGGGATCACGGTGCCCTCTGCCAGGCTACTCGCGGCCCTCTGTCCTCATATGCTTTCTGGTGAGTCCTTAGTCTACAGGGTGAAACCCCCTCATCCTTAAACCTTCAGCTTGGGGACGGAAGGAGAAGGATGGAGGAGAAGAAGGCATATTTCTCTTGACTGGTCCTGGGGTTTTAGTTGGGAGCAGGTAGGTAAGACCCTTTGGAGGTAGTGGGGTGGTTCTCAAGGTTACCACCATACCTTTACTCCTGACTTCTAGGGACAGGTGAGTGTGCTGTTTCTTTGCTAGAGTGGGGGAGGGCAACGGGTATCTGCTGATAAAGTCCCACTTAAGTGTTTCATGATAGATTCTTTCCTTTTCCTATTGTATAATACACTAATTTTCTGGGACTGTGTTTTCTCATCTGAAATGTCTTAAAATTGATGTTGGAAGTGAGAATGGGGAAAAAGCCTAGGAGAGGGTTAGAAGCCCTGGGTTCTAGCCCAGCTTACCCCTTACTTTTGGGAGTGATTGCTCCCATTCACTGATCATTATTTCCTTATCTGTTAAAATTGGCACAAATCAGTGGCTCTTAACTTTCGGGGACTGTAAATCTTATTGAATTGTTTTTTTGAAAGCTCTGGATTTGTACTCCAGGAAAATGTATAGATAAACTCAATATTGCATTTGACTTCAGGGTATTTACAGATTCCTTGGATTACAGGTTTAGTGCCACTGGCTTTGGTGATTAGTGAGGCCCCTTCTGCCTGTCACAGGCTGTAAAGTCAACCATAGCCTCTGAAAGGCTGTGTACATATTCTAGGACAAAAAAAAGGAGAAAGGTTGAATACAATAGGAAATTACTGAAAGGATACATAAAATATTTTACAAGAATGTTAAATTAGATAAGATATATTTAAAAAGACATCAATATGAAAAGGTATATAGTAAAGGACATAAATATGAAGGCTTTATAATAAAAAGGCTTTTGTTTAAAATTTATGGTGACTCTTTTCCCATGATAGTAACTGTTTCTGTTAGGGAATGTTGTGATATGTATATTTTCCACTGGTTTCACACTCATAACATGTTACTTTTTAAAATATTATAGTCCACTTTGGGGTCCAAATGACCTTTCTTACTTCTGATATTTAACTGATGTGGCCCATAAACATTTCTCAGGCATATAGTCTGTTCCCAGATAGTAATGTGGTAGGAATACAGGAAGGAATGAGAATGAAGACTTCCTATCCAATGGGAGAGGCATAGAAACAACTCTGTATTTCATTGTATTCTGTGAATGGCACAACAGAAGGAGGTTTAGCAGCAGCCTTGTCTCCACCCACTAGATGACAATGGTACCTCTTCCCTAGTCATGACAGTCAGAATTGTCTCTAAGCATTGCCAGATGTACACAGAGGGGCAAAATCTCCCTGAGTTGAGAATCACTGGATAACACAAAGCTTCAAGGATGCCCTGAATCCATTCTTACTCTTGCTTATTGCAAAGCATAAAAGTCAGAATGGAAGTCAGGGGTCTTGGAGGCAAGAATTGGTCTATCACTGAGTTTCTGTATGTTCTGCCTTGGTTTTCTTATTTGTTGAGTTAAGGGTTGTCTTAGATAATACCTGAGGGCCCATTACCTCTTGGTTGGTTATTTATTTATTTGAGGGGTACTGGGGATCACCAGGAGCACTTTGCCTCCTCAGTCTTTTTTTTTTCTTTTCTGCTTCTTCTTCTTCTTCTTCTTCTTTTTTTTTTTTTTTTAAAGACAAGGTCTTCATAAGTGGCCCAGGCTGGACTTGAACTTGCAGTCCACTTGCCTAGGCCTCCCACAATGCCCGGCTGAATGCTCCTTTTCTTTAGAGTGGTGCTGGAAGCTTCTTTAGAGTCATGTAGCTGGAACACCATACAATGTTCTGAAAGCACTGCTCACAGTGGGTGACCCAGAAGCCTTGCCTTCTTCACAAGGCTATTTAGTCTTAGCAACAGCATTTCACTTGTGTGCTACTAAGTCACTAATCCACAAGTATTTATTGAGAACCTGCTGTGTGCCAGGAACTGAGGTGGGGAGAATGGTGAACTAAACACAGCCCTTCCTTTATTGAGTTAGTGATTACAAATTGCTTTTCCTATCTTGTTTGAACCCCTATCAACTCTTGAGTTAGGCAGCATGAATGTCATAATCTCCAGTTTTTACATCAGGATTATAGAAGGAAGAGGAAGAAACTTGGCAGTCCACAGACAGCTATCTGTACTGGCACTAGGATTTAAATCCTGCCCTCTAGTCCTTCTATTTTTTCCCCGCTATGGTCCAATTGAGTTGTCAAAAAGAAATAACAGTAAAAGCTTCCTTGAAAAGCCTGGTTCTTTTTTTCTTGCATGGTTTCTGGTTTGGTTCAAAGAGCTAATATGAGACTGAGGCACTGTGGAGATAGTGGGAGGGAATGAAAAACCCAACCCAAAAGGCCTGAGGTCAAACTGCAGCTAAAGATACAAAACCACTACTCAGGCCCTGCCAACAAGTAGGAGCTAGGACAGAGGCAATAATGTAAAATGAGAAGGGAGGACAGAGGTTCATTTGAGCAAAGCCAGATCCCTGGCCTAGGAGGCAGGAGAAGCAGTTCTTGTTCAGCCTTGCTGAGTCCCTGCCTGACTCCTTGCAAGTTGCCTCTGTCCCTGTTAATAGCTCCATTATGTCCACCAAACGGAGAATCCTGGAATAGAAGGGATCTCCAGTTCTTTTTATTCCCCCCGATTTTGGATGTTTGTCATTAAAATAAAAAGAAGTTATATCTTGAATGCCTTTTCCTCTCACATGGTCAGTGCCACCTTAGTCCAGGATTTTTTTATAGGATTTTTTTTTAATATTTATTTTTTTAGTTGTAGTTGGATATAATTCCTTTATTCCATTCATTTATTTTTATGTGGTGCTGAGGATCGAACCCAGGGCCCCTGTGCATGCTAGGCGAGCGCTCTACCGCTGAGCCACAATCCCAACCCCAGTTCAGGATCTTAATGTCTTTTTCTTGGGTTACTAAAATGGCTAAGTAGCCTGCCTTCTGATAATTCCCCATTCCCAGCCCTTTTGTAACGCTACTTGGCTTGGCCATATTGTTATTGTCTTACTTAAAAAACCTCTAAAAGCACTCAGTCACCTGAGTGCAAACCCCCAACTCTGGGGCCTGACCCTTTTCTGTATAATTCTAGGCAACCTCATTTTCTCTGATCTACTCTTACTATCCCATGCAAATCTAGTACAGACTGGATATTTCATATGTCCCTTGTACCTCTTGAGTTTGTACATATTATCATTTGCTTAGAGCACCCTCTTATAATCCTACTTATTTCAGATCCAACTCAGATGACATCTTCTTTTCAGTCCTACCTCATTCCTTCTCTTCAAAGCTTTTTCCTGCTCCTTCTAGCATAGCTTTCCTCTTGGTCCTCCCAGCACAGCAGCCCAGGTTACATTGTTTCAGAATTGATCTGTTCACAAGCCTACCTTTTGCACTAGATTGTCTGACATTCCCTAATGCATATACAAATGAACGCAGGTGAAATTACTCCTTGAAAATCAATAGATTTAAGAGTTTATCATAATAATCTTCTCATAATGATGGCAGTTCGGTGGATGCCAGTTAGTATCACCAGCAATAGCAGTTTTGCACAATAAAAAAGGATTTGAAGTCATCCAGGCTTGAGTCCAAATCCTGGCTTCACCAATTAAAGCTATATGATTTTGAAAAAGTTTTTTGAATTATAAGTCTCCATTTTCTTTCTCATCTAAAATATGCAGAGGAAAATATGAAAACTCAATGTAGATTTCAGGGGTTATTTTATAGATGGGGTTGGGGGATGAAAAAATGATATCAGCCTTGGTTCTAGTCTGCTGGAGTTGGGAGTCATTGACCTGTGCTTTTCTTTTCCACTGTGTAGATCCTGGCAACTTCTTTTCTGATGTACCCCATGCTCAGGACCCTTAGCCTACAGCTTCACTCAGCCATCACCGGCAGCTATATCTCTGGCACACACTCCATCGTCTTTGTCAACTGTCCCAACGAGCAAATTGCTAGAGACATTGCCAGGTATAGTGCAGGGGCTAAGGTGCTGCCCCAGAAGACTTGGGAAGCTCTAAGAAGCTCCAGAGGGACTAATTTGGGCCCTTCTCTTGCTTCTCACAAACCTGCCTGTCCAATGAACTCTATAGCTGTCTGCTTGGGGTGATACAAGGAGCATGGCCAAATGATCCCCTGACTGATGCTGCTGCAGGGCCTAAAAGTGTCAAGTGGTGCAGGAGGGCATAAAAGGGATCCGAGGCCCAGAGAGAGGTGGTTTGTTGAAGGCGTAAGAAAGTTGTGGAACCCTGCAGGTTTGTAATCTAAGTCTCCAAATTGATGACCCACCTCTCTTTGTTCATATATAAGGAGGAGGAGGTCATTTCAAGTATTTGGCTGTTTTCTAGAAGCAGCTGTGACATACTAGAAAGAACACTGGACTAGGCCAGGGTTTCAATGTGAATATGCCATTTACTATGTACGTGATCTTGGCCGAGCTGTGTCTCTTCTTCCACTTCCTCCTTTTCCTCCTCTTCTTTTTTTTTGGCAGTGCTAGGCATCAAACCCAGGTCCTTGAGCATGGTAGGCAGGTATGTACAGCCAAGTCATATCTGATTCCCTTCTTGAAGCATCAGTTTTCTAAATTATAAAACGGCATTATGCCATCTACCTCACAGGGTGGTGGTGAAGATTAAATGAGATGAAATATAAACAGTGCATACCCCAGTAAATATAGTAGGTTCTCAGAAAATGTTTATTATATCTGAATTTTCCCCCTTCTGTTTATAGAGACAGGTTAAAGAGAGTTAGTGAGGCTGAGAAGTAATGGCCGTGGCTCTGTGTTCCTTTTCTTCTTGCTTTACAACTCAGCCTTCTTGAAGTTAATAGTAGACTAAAACTAGTCCAGTGTCACAGTAACAATCAAATGCCTATAGGCAGCCAGGCACGGTGACACATGCCTGTAATTCTAGCGGCTTGGGAGGCTGAGGCAAGAGGATCATGAGTTCAAAGCCAGCCTCAGCAATTTAACAAGGCCCTAAGCAACTCATTGTGATCCCATTTCTAAGTAAAATGCAAAAATGGGTTGGGGATGTGGCTCAATGGTTAAGTGCCCTGAGTTCAATCCTTGGTACCAAAAAAAAAAAGAAAGAAAGAAAGAAAATGCCTGTAATCAGGTAAATGAGAAGTGGGCTGGTGTATAATGATGGTGCTTCCTAGGCTTTGGGAGGAAAGAGCAATGGAACTGTGTTGACCTGAGAAGCGTATTTCATGACTCAAGGGAGCAGCTGCTGCTCAGCTCTAGCATGGCTAAATTTGACCTGCAGGCCCAATATTGGAAGATTCACTTTTTTCTTTTTGCTAGAAGCTAGATAATCTGTATTGTTTGGGGTGTGAAATACATTCTATATTAAATATTGGTTAATAAAGCCAAGATTTTTTTTTGGGGGGGGTACCCAAGATTGAACTCAGGGGCACTTGACCACTGAGCCACATCCCCAGCCCTATTTTGTATTTTATTTAGAGACAGGGGCTCACTGAGTTGCTGAGGCTGGCTTTGAAACTTGCAATCATCTTATCTCAGCTTCCTGAGCTGCTGGGATTACAGGCGTGTGCCACTGCGCCTGGCCAATGTCAAGATTTTTTAAAATGTCATGGGACCAACATGTATCTGTTCTTTGAGCCACTACCCTGTGTGACCTCTGCACTTCTCCCTCTGCTTCCTAAATCCTGAGCTCCCCATGTGTGGCTCTCTACTGGTCTTGAGGGTTTGTGTGTCTGTTTTAAAATTGAATTCAGTCAGCCTCTCTTCTTCCCTACTCTCTTTTATAATGCTCTAGGGGCTTAAAAAAAAATATATATATATATTATATATATTTTAGTTGTAGTTTGACATAGGACTTTTATTTTATTTATTTATTTATTTTAAGTGGTGCTGAGGATCGAACCCAGGGCCTCACACATGCTAGGCGAGCGCTCTACCACTGAGCCACAGACCCAGCCGTTTAGGGACTTTTTGTATAAAAACCCTCCATATTCTATAATCTCTTACCTAAAGACAGGTTGTTATTATCAGTTGCTGAGGAGTTCATATTTGGGAAAGGGCTTCTGAGGCAATGTGATCATCTTCCATGGGTGTGTAACTTGCTCCTTGCATTTGCTTAACACCTGGAGAACCAACGAAATGTAATTTCGCAGTGAGTGGTTGAGTGAACAAGGCTCACAGCAGTTGCTTGAACAAGTTTGTGTGACAGGTCTCTTCTTACAGTTGATAATTTTCCAAGAGAGTAACAGTGGTGATAATGTCACATGAATATGGAGCCTTAAATAGAATACTCTTCAGCTTGGGACTCAAGGAAAAAAAAAAAGAGGTCATTTCTCTTGGTAACGGCTGAGGGAAAGAGGAATCAGCGAGCAGGGCTCAGATAAGGTTTGTTTGGCTCGGTCCAAGCACATCAGAGAACAGAGGTGAGGTTCCTTTGGTTTCCTTTAAAAAAGAAAGAAAGATGAAAAGGTCCTATATTTGCCAAAACATGATGCTTTTTTTTTTCTTTTTGCTTTTGCTTGGAATTGTATTAGTTTTGTGTGGTCACATGGGTATTTATAGTCAGAAGCACTTAGTGTCTCAGCTAGATTATCTTTGGTGGTTAAAGGTAGATGTAGCATAATAAAAGAAATTATTGGGAATAGGAAAGGTTGAAAACCACTGGCCAAACCAGTCTTGTTGTATAGCAGGTCAGGTTGCTTATTTCGCCAAAGCAGGAGAGGGACAGAAAGAAAGAACTTACTTAAGGTCCCATAGCTATCTTATAGCAGGGCTGGAAATGGAATTCGGATCTTCTTTAGGTCCAATGTTAATTACTGCCCAGACCCCAGACAGACTGGGCCTCTCTTTAAAACTTCCTTCCCATAGCTGCTTTCTTACTTCTCACCCAGAAAAGTACATAGAAACAGCTCTGTCTTCAGAGGTTCTATGCATGCTGTTTATGGACTGTTCTGAAGGGAGGTGATGAAGTGATGTCTGAGTCTGTTTTCTGTGGCAGTAACTGAATACCACAAGCTGGGTCATTTATAAACAATAAAGGTTTATCTAGATTATGGTCCTGGAGGCTAGGAACTCCAAGAGTATGGTGCTGATATCTAGTGAGGGCCTACTTCCTGCTTTATAATATGGCAGAGAACATCACATGGTGATACAGAGCAAGTATGCTAGGTTGGTCTCTCTCCCTTTTCTTATAATGGCACCTATGCCCTCATGGTGGTGCCATCCTCATGACCTCAGGTAATCCTAATCACCCAAAAGCCCCACCTCCAAATCCACTAACATGATTTAGGGAATTCTGGGGACACACTGAAACCATAACTTCTGCCTCTAGCCCCCAATATCCATGTCCTCACATGCAAAATACAATAAACCCCCAAAACTGGTTCCAAAAATAATATAAAAGTCCAAAGTGCATTTTCTTATCTGAATCAGATTTGGGTGAGACTGAAAGCATGCCTGAGGCAAATTTAATCTACTGTGGCCTGAAAAATCAAAGGAGCTACACACTTCTACAGCGCAGTGGTGAAACAGGCCATAGGACAGATGTTCCCATTCTAAATAGAAGAGTCAGGCAAAAAGAAAGGAGTCACCAGCTCCATGGAGGTCCAAAACCCAACAGGATGAACAGCATTAAATCTGAAGGCCCTAGAACCATCTTCCATAATTGCATGTTCACGTTCCTGGATATATTGGGACAGGGGTTATGCCCCCGAGGCCTTGTGCAGCCCAGCCTCCACCTCAGTACAGCTTCAGCTCACTTGGGTAAGCTGATAGCTCTTACTTGCCCACCATATAGCTCTATAATCCCGGGTCTCTGTGGCAGTCCAACCCCTGTGGCTCTACTAGACATTGCCCTAGTGGATCCTGCAGCAGCTTCAGCCCCACATTTCCACGCTGCTATTAATTCCCAAGAGCCTCACAAATACTGTTAACAGGATAAAATTTCTAACACATGAAATCTGGGGACTAAACTAAAGCAGGGGAGGGACATCCTAAATTATTTTCTACTTAGATTTAGATTTCCAAGGTAATTCCCAAGAACCCCTGTTCACATCCTTTCTCTTTAGATCCTGGGACTTGCTCTAGTGACCGCTACCTTTTCTCTTTGCTTTAGGGGCATACTGGATAAGAAACTGGCTGCCTCTGTGAACATCTTGCCCAAGACATCTTCACTGTGAGTTTTGCTATGGCTAATAAAGGGGAATTGGGAGTCTTAGGGTCAGGTCCTGGCTAGTGGAAAGAGCACTAAACTAATGGGAATTACCAAAGAATAACTCAAAGGTATTAAATTAGTCAGTGGTTCACAGTTGACTTATATTCAGAGGAGATCAATCAAGTAGTTTATCTCATCCAAGGAAAGCAAAAATATGCTGTTTATAGAGAGAGAAGGAAAAAGTAATGTTACTCTGTTATTGTTCACATCATCTATAGCAGTGGCTCCCAAATTTGGCTGTAATGTCAATTCCCTGAACTCCAGCCTAGATCTGTTCAGTTAGTGGGTGGGCCCAGGCCTTTGAATCTTTAAAAAGCAGAACAAGGGTTAGGGAGGTAGATCAGTAGTAGAGCATTTGCCTACATGTGCAAGGCCCTAGGTTCAATTCTAAGCATTAAAAAAAAAAAAAAAAATGTTATAGGCGATTCACTATTCATCCAGTCTGGAAATGAGTGTTTTGTAACCAGAATAGAATATCAGCTTAGAATTCTTATATTTACCAAAGCTGTGACAGGAAAGGGCCCATGGCCTAGGTCATCTTAGATTTACCCTGGGTCAATGTACATCTCAGGCTAAATCTCTCCCTTTTCCCATGATGCTGTTCTTTTTTTAATATTTATTTTTTTAGGTGTATATGGACACAACACAATGCCTTTATTTTTATGTGGTGCTGAGGATCGAACCCAGGTCCCGCCCGTGCTAGGTGAGCGCTCTACCGCTGAGCCACAATCCCAGCCCTATGATGCTGTTCTTAAACTCTTTTCTTCTTCTCTTTCTTCTTCTTCTTCTTTTTTTGTACCAGGGATTGAATCCACTAAGCCACATCTCCAGCCCTTTTTTATATTTTATATGGAGACAGGGTCTCTATATAAGGGAGGTGATGAAGTGATTTCTGAGTCTCACTAAATTGCTGAGGCTGATTTTGAACTCACAATCCTCCTGCCTCAGCTCCCAAGCTGCTGGGATTACAGGCATGTGCCACTGTACCCAGCTCTTACACTCTGTTCTGAATATCATCACTGATTTTATTTTTCATTTCTAGAAGTGTGTGTATCTTACAAGGTTTAATTCTCCTGAAGCCTTCTGAATTTTTTCATTCATCCATTCATGGGCACTCAGCTTTGAAAGTCAGTGATCATAGCAACACTAGTCAAAGGGTCAGGGAGGGGACTGGAAGCCATGAATATAGGATAAACATAGAAAGAACCGGAGATGAACTTGGAGGAGAAAAGATATAGAAGTATCTACAGAATTGTCCTGGGGTGGTTCCTCATGTAGCCAGTTGAGGAAAACAATGAGGTGGCAGATGTCAACATGTGTCAAGAAAAAACATTTCTGGCTGGGGTATAGCTCAGTGGTAGAGAGCTTGCCCGCATGCCTGAAGCCCTGGGTTTGATCCCTAGGACTGCATTTAAAAAAGAAAAAAAAAAAGTCTCATGTGAAAACATTTAAGTTTGAGGGACTTCTTCAAGAGATGGTGAACCTCCCACCTCCAGGAATGTTCTGGAAGATGCTAGATGCATGTGTTAGAATGATGGAACTAGATGATTTGTGGGGCTTTGACTAACTCTAGACTTCTTGATATGGACTTAGAAAGATTTTAGCTTCCTTCTTAGTAAGTCACCTATTCTGGCCAGGTTTGACATTTAATTCGCTGGGCTCCTTTTATGAGCTTCACAATTTGGTTTTGCTTTCTTTTCTAGTTTTTTTTGGAAGGGAGAAATAGAAGAAGCCACTGAGGTCTTATTGGTAAGTAAGGATAGGAGCAGAGGTGGTCTGGGTAAGGGAATGAGTAAGTCTAAGACCTTTTCCCAGGTTCCAATGAAAATTAACATAAATCAATTGACTGAAGGTCTTGCTCACTTCAGATGCATGAGGTTCATTTGTGAGCTCCTGACATGACCTGGTGCTGGGAGCCATTAGCCAAGTAGGTATGACAATTTCCTTGCCAGCATACCCCATGTTGCAGTGACATTGAATGTAGGTGACCTTGCTCAAGGACCAAGGCGGATTAGGGCGTTCCCGGTTTAGGTTCCAGGTTTAAGGTTTAAGATTATTCCTGCTGGGAATAGGGCGTATCCTGCTGCCTGAGTTCCCCTTGAGTTCTCACGGGATTCCCCCTTACGGGCCACCAAATGCTGCAGTCTGGCTGGGCACACAATCACGAGCCACCACACAGCTTGTAGATTCAAACAGCAACTCTTTATTCCCGAACTCACACCAGCCGTCTACAATCACGTTCTGGGGAAATCCACGTTCTCTGCCCAAATCCACGTTCTCTGCCCAAATCCACGTTCTCTGCCCAAATCCACCTCCACTGGGCTTCTATCTCCAAAATATACTGTCTGAATCCCGTGAGAACTCAAGGGGAACTCAGGCAGCAGGATACGCCCTATTCCCAGCAGGAATAATCTTAAACCTTAAACCTGGAACCTAAACCGGGAACGCCCTAATCCGCCTTGGTCCTTGAGCAAGGTCACCTACATTCAATGTCACTGCAACATGGGGTACGCTGGCAAGGAAATTGTCATACCTACTTGGCTAATGGCTCCCAGCAACCTGGTGACCTGGGAGGAATGCAAACTGCTAAATGGCTAGGTGAATGAGCAGGGCAAAGCTGGGGCTCAGTAGTGTTTTTTTTCTTCCTTTACAGTTAATAAAGACAAAAACTTCCAAGGTCCTCATGCTGTCTGGCTTTATCAGGTAAGTCTAGCATTTCTTCACTCATTCTCACGACAGACAGGCAAATTCTTCTTCTGGGGACCAAATGAGTGAGCTTCAGAAGCAGGAAATCTGCAACCTAGCCATCAACTTCCCATATAACTCTGAGCAAGTCCCTGTCTCTTTCTGAATTATAGATTTTCTATAAAATAGGGAGCTAGAATGAGATAGTTTAAATCAGTGGATCTCAAAATATTGGTCTCAGAACCTTCACACTTTTAAAAGTTACTTAGACCAAAAAGAGCTTTGTTGTGGGTTAATAAAAAAAAAAATTAACTGTTTTGAGAGCATCATTTTACAAACTAATTTCTGTCTCCAGGGTCCATTCATTTCCCTAATAATCATATATACACATGCCTATCTCCCTTCCCCCTCTGAGAAAAGGTTTAGAAGCTTCCACTTCTAAATTTCAGACATGGTGTATGATTTTCATGTTTCGGAATGTTAATAAATTTTGTGTCTGTTCTCTTAAAAAATTAAAGTTAACTGTTTTAAACATTAAAGCTGAGCAATTTTTAAAATGTTTTAGGTCATTAAAAATAACAGTAGTAAACCATTATATATTAACACAAATAGTGCTATTTATTTTAGTGTTAGAGTTGGAACCCAGGGTCTCCTTCATGCTAGGCAAGCACTCTACCACTGAACTTCACCCCCATCCCAGTCCTATACATGCATTTTTATAGAAAGCAATCATAGTTTCCAAAGCCAAAAACTAGTGGGAAAAATAAAAGAACTGAAGATGAACTTGGAGGAGAAAAGATATAGAAGTGTCTACAGAATTGTCCTGGGGTGGTTCCTCATGTAGCCAGTTGGGGAAAACAATGAGGTGGCAGATGTCAACATGTGTCAAGAAAAAACATTTCTGGCTGGGGTGTAGCTCAGTGGTAGAGAGCTTGCCTGCATGCCTGAGGACCTGGGTTTGATCCCTAGGATTGCATTTAAAAAAGAAAAAAAAGTCTCATGTGAAAACCTTTAACATTTTTGCAAAATCTGGTTTAGTAAGATAGCTAGATCTCCTCAAGAAACAGCTTTAAGTGGGCTGGGATTGTAGCTCAGTGGTAGAGTGCTTTCCTAGCATGTGCGAGGCCCTGGGTTTGATCCTCAGCACCACATAAAAATAAGTAAAGGTATTGTGTACAACTAAAAAATAAATATTAAAAAAAAAGGAGCACCTTTAAGTATTGGGACAATTTTAAGCTTACAGTAATGAATTCAAATTTTTCAAAATTCTAATTTTGTCTTAGAACATAATTTTATTAATGTTAATAAGTGATATAAATTGTCTTTGAGTATTGGGTTCAATTTGTTTCTATTTGAGGAAATGTCTTCCTAATACTCAAGACTTCAGAATAGTTTGTAAAAATGACAGTCAAATTACAGTTATTTAGGTTTGAAAGCAAAAATGTTATGCAAAAAAAAAAAAAAAAGAAAAGAAAAAAAGCATGTCTAGCTGGGCATGGTGGTACATGCTTAAAATCCCAGCAGCTCAGGAAACTGAGGCAGGAGGATTATAAGTTCAAAGCCAGACTTAGCAACTTCGCGATGCCCTGTCTCAAAATAAAAAATAAAAAAGGGCTGGAGATGTGGCTCAGTAGTTAAATGCCCCTGGGTTCAATCCCCAGTACCAAAAACAAACAAAAAAAAACATGTCTAGTTTAGCTTGTGACTCAGATTGTTTTCAATGACTATTGAACCTAGGTACACAACAGAAATGCCTATGTGTACTTCCCGTTTTGCCATTCAGAATATTAAAAAGACATGTATTCAAGGGTCAAAAAATAATTTAAAAAAGTAATTTTTACCACTTCAAAAATGTCTGACTTTTTAAAAATGCGGGTGTGAGGGCTGGGGTTGTGGCTCAGTGGTAGAGTGCATGCCTAGTATGCATGAGGCACTGGGTTCGATCCTCAGCACCACATAAATATAAAATAAAGATATTGTGTCAACCTAAAACTTAAAAATAAATATTTTTTTTTTAAAAATGCAGGTGTGAAGAGTACAATGATAGTGTGGTTTGGTGCCACTGCTTGATATATGTAAACATGCAGGTAGTTTTACCCATCATTGCTTTTGCACCACTGTTACAAACATTGACATAGTAAAAATATGAATGATAAATTAGTGTTATTATATAAATAGTTTTGACTTCTTAGACCCCATGGAAGAGTCTTGTAGACCCCTAGAGGTTAGTGGACCTCACTTTTAGAACCAGTGGTATAACCCTATATCATTCAAAGTGTAAGTTTTGGAATTGATATTACTGGACACTTGTTAGAAATGCAGAATCTCATGGTCACCCCAGACCTATGGAATCAAACTACATCTTAGTAATATTCCCCAGGAATTCCCATAGTCTAAACCAGTGGTATTTTTCAAACTACCACTTTAAATTTGTTTAGGATGGGAACAAAGTATGATATTATTATTGGTGTTATTTTTGAGACGGGGTCTTGCTATGTTGCCGAAGCTGGTGTTGGAACTTCTGGCTCAAGTGATCCTCCTGCCTCAACTGGTCCTACAGGTGCATGCTGTTGTACCCAGCTAGTATGGTACTGTTAAAAAGCACCCCAAATTGCCTCGAATGTGCAGCCAAAGATGTGAACCACCTATTTGGATGATAAAATTGTTTCCCTTCACTTTTTAGAGAACTAGGAATCTGTGGCTATAAGGCTATAGCTAAGTCTCAAATGTTGCTATAGAGAAGGCCCTTATGTTACCATCTCAACAGAGTTGAGGGAGTAAGACATCTTTGGTAGAAACTACACTGTCAAGAAATAACTTAATGCATCAGGGACAGCTTCAGGGTTAAGAGTGAGAACTCCAGAGCTTAACCTCCTAATGTTGAAATGTGGCTTCCCATTGGCTAGTTGTACCATAAGTACATGAAGAATATCAATACTTTTTGTGCCTCCGCTGTCTTGTCTTTGAAATGGTGATCATAGTCATGTGTTTTGGAATTAACATGTGAGGTATACATATGAAATGATGCTTTGTCATCAGCAGCTCTTACTACTAAAGTGCTTATTAAAATATGCACTTTGGCCTCTTTATGTTTATTTATAAAAGCAGTTACCTAGATGTTCATGAAAAAATTCATTATCCTCAGGAACTGGATAAAATTTATCCAACTTACTCCACATGTTTAAGCACCTACACCCATGTTGTGATTTGTTAATCATGTTATCGCATGAGAACTTTAAATTGGTTCTTTCAGCAGCAGAAAGGACATAGAGAATTATTATCCTGTTTGACAAATGGGAAACTGAAACCAAGTTCTCATGTTTCTTCAGTCGGAAAGTGAAGAGAACTTGTATTGTGTGACAAGAGCCAGGTGAAACAAACAGGAGAAAAGGGAGGGATTTCTGTGGCTTAGTGGTCAGTGAGGATCCCTTAGAAAAGGCTAGTGGTTGAGCTGGATCTTGAGGAAGAGAAAGGCTTTTTTTTAAAATTTTTTTTTTATTTTTTATTGTGGGTTGTTCAAAACATTACAAATTTCTTGACATATCATATTCCACACTTTGATTCAAGTGGGTTATGAACTCCCACCTTCACCCCATACACATATTGCAGAATCACATCAGTTACACATCCATTGATTTACATATTGCCATACTAGTGTCTGTTGTGCTCCGCTGCCTTTCCCATCCTCCACCCTCCCCCCTCCCCACCTCTCCCCTCCCCTCCCCTCCTCTCTCTCTACCCCCTCCACTGTATAACCCTGAGGGTCTCCTTCCATTACCATGCAATTTCCCTTCTCTCTCCCTTTCCCTCCCACCTCTCATCCCTGTTAAATGTTAATCTTCTTCTCCTGCTCTTCGTCCCTACTCTGATCTTAGTTACTCTCCTTATATCAAAGAAGACATTTGGCATTTGTTTTTTAGGGATTGGCTAGCTTCACTTAGCATAATCTGCTCTAATGCCATCAATTTCCCTGTAAATTCTATAATTTTGTCATTTTTTAATGCAGACTAATACTCCATTGTGTATAAATGCCACATTTTTTTTTATCCATTCGTCTATTGAAGGGCATCTAGGTTGGTTCCACAGTCTTGCTATTGTGAACTGTGCTGCTATGAACATCGATGTAGCAGTGTCCCTGTAGCATGCTCTTTTTAGGTCTTTAGGGAATAGACCAAGAAGGGGAATAGCTGGGTCAAATGGTGGCTTCATTCCCAGCTTTCCAAGAAATCTCCATACTGCTTTCCAAATTGGCTGCACCAATCTGCAGTCCCACCAGCAATGTACAAGTGTACCCTTTTCCCCACATCCTCGCCAGCACTTGTTGTTGTTTGACTTCATAATGGCTGCCAATCTTACTGGAGTGAGATGGTATCTTAGGGTGGTTTTGATTTGCATTTCTCTGTCAGCTAGAGATGTTGAGCATTTTTCATGTACTTGTTGATTGACTGTATGTCCTCCTCTGAGAAGTGTCTGTTCAGGTCCTTGGCCCATTTGTTGATTGGGTTGTTTGTTCTCTTATTGTCTAATTTTTTGAGTTCTTTGTATACTCTGGATATTAGGGCTCTATCTGAAGTGTGAGGAGTAAAGATTTGTTCCCAGGGTGTAGTCTCCCTATTTACCTCTCTTATTGTTTCTTTTGCTGAGAAAAAACTTTTTAGTTTGAGTAAGTCCCATTTGTTGATTCTAGTTATTAACTTTTGTGCTATGGGTGTCCTATTGAGGAATTTGGAGCCCGACCCCACCGAATGTAGATCGTAGCCAACTTTTTCTTCTATCAGACGGTGTGTCTCTGATTTGATATCAAGCTCCTTGATCCATTTTGAATTAACTTTTGTGCATGGCGAGAGAAAGGGATTCAGTTTCATTTTGTTGCATATGGATTTCCAGTTTTCCCAGCACCATTTGTTGAAGATGCTATCCTTCCTCCATTGCATGCTTTTAGCCCCTTTATCAAATATAAGATAGTTGTAGTTTTGTGGATTTGTTTCTGTGTCCTCTATTCTGTACCATTGGTCCAC